CTCTTTTTTTTTATAGTAGTTCTGTAAAACTTAAATATTTTACTTCTTTCAATCATAATATTAAGATAATTTAAGTGTTAGTAAAATATAGCTGAACAAGTTAGCATTTATATTATCGATTTATACATCTGCAACAAATTTATTAAAAATGTTCGTAAACAATATTAGAAGAAGTAACAATTTCTTTTTTTGAAGAAGTTCTTAATTGCCAGAATCTCATTTTAAGGAATTTGTGTCGTTAAAGACTTGAATTAAAATGTTATTCACTTCAAATGTATTTTACTTAAGTTGTAGCTTTAAAATGGGAGGGTTTATTTAAAAAATATGTATATATCTTTTTTGAAAATACTACATTTGATGATTTTATTTTATTGCAGGAGAACTTGTTGAAAAGCCATCACCAGTAATTCTTGCTCCTCATGATTTCTGTAACATCAAAGCAAGTGTTAAAGTTGCATCAACTGAAAATGGCATCATTTTTGGTAACATTGGTAAGTCATTTTTAACTATTCATAAACTAATTTAACTAATTTGACTATTGAATTATTTAATGTAAAATAATTAATTTATATTTTATATTATTTATTATTTATATTTTAACTATTAAGAAAGTGTCAACCATTTGGTTGTCAATATTATTTAATTTTTTTAAGAACAAGTTAGATATTAGTTTTAATGTGTTTGGTACTATATAATACCTAATAAATGTTTTTTTTAATGATTTATTTATGCCAAAAAATGTTTCTTTTTGATTCATTATTTTAAAAATATTCGTAGAATTACTTATAAATTTTTTGAGACCCTCAAATTTGTCATGACTTATATTCGTTTTTCTATTATTACCCTTTTCTTAAGTCATAATCTTATGCTGTTAAAATCCAAATTTTCTCATGATTAACTTTAATAATGTGCCTTAAATTTTACNTAACAATATTATCGATTTATACATCTGCAACAAATTTATTAAAAATGTTCGTAAACAATATTAGAAGAAGTAACATTTTCTTTTTTTGAACTTTTGTATTATGAAATATCAATAAGTTGCAATGGTCCAGGGTTGATTTGTAGAAGTTATTAATTACCAGAATCTCATTTTAAGAAATTTGTGTCGTTAAAGACTTGAACTAAAATGTTATTTACTTCAAATGCATTTTACTTAAGTTGTAGCTTTAAAATGGGAGGGTTTATTTAAAAAATAAAATATATATCTTTTTTGAAAATACTACATTTGATGATTTTATTTTATTGCAGGAGAACTTGTTGAAAAGCCATCACCAGTGATTCTTGCTCATCATGATTTCTGTAACATCAAAGCAAGTATTAAAGTTGCATCAACTGAAAATGGCATCATTTTTGGTAACATTGGTAAGTTATTTTTAACTATTCATAAACTAATTTAACTAATTTGACTATTGAATTATTTAATATAAAATAATTAATTTATATTTATATGTAATCTATTAAGAAAGTGTCAACCATTTAGTTGTCAATATTATTTAATTTTTTGAAGAACAAGTTAGATATAAGTTTTAATGTGTTTGGTACTATATAATACCTAATAAATGTTTTTTTTAATGATTCTTTTAATGATTCTAATGACAAAAAATGTTTCTTTTTGATTCATTATATTAAAAGTATTCGTAGAATTACTTATAAATTTTTTGAGACCCTCAAATTTGTCATGACTTATATTCGTTTTTCTATTATTACCCTTTTCTTAAGTCATAATCTTATGCTGTTAAAATCCAAATTTTCTCATGATTAACTTTAATAATGTGCCTTAAATTTTACTATAATTATAAAAGATTGCTTTAATGTTATTTCTTTTTTTTTAAAGAAAAAGCATGATATTATATGATAATGATTTATACTCATAAATTAAATTAAATGTTGCGAAATTTATGCAAGGTCTGATTTGACCAAAATTTAATGCTAATTTGTATATTCTAGTTTATTACCAGATCAGTATATGATCTCTTTAACTCACTAGCTGTTTTGACATTTTTATTATTACTCCTTTTAAATGTTTACTCTTTTTATTTTTATACAATTATTGTTCAGACCTATCCCTCTTCACACCAGAAAACAGTGCTATAAAGAGTAATTTTTCTTCTATATAATTCAAAATAAGTAGCTGTTTTTTCTCATTAAAATAAGTTTTTGTTCTAAATGAAAAATTGATGAAGGTTTTCCACATGCTTGACCATTTGGTGGGATCAAAAAATTAAGTTCTACTTGCAGAACTGCCAGTGTTTTAGACAGTATTAATTGATCAGATAAAAAAAAAGTTCTTTTTTTCTTAAAGAAGGTCGTTAATACTTAAAGATCTGGTCAATAAAAAGCAATAAGCCACTTCTTTTTCAGCACGACAGCCCCTTGCAAGTTTAATAAGACACAACTTATAAAAATTTTAGAAATAATTATGTTCATCAAGATCTTGCGTTAATTCTCCACAAGCAGTAAAAGGTTTTTCGTATTTTAAGCAAGTCAATGCATCCTCACTTTTTTTTATAAGCCACAAATATCTGTAGTATTTTTCCAGAAAAATCTATTGATTTTTCAATTACAAAATAAGTGGGTTATCACTTTTTACCCTCCAGGTCTTTTCTATATTAAGTCATTTATTTTTCAGTATATGATATCAGCCAGTGACAGAAGTGTTGTTGTTCTGAATGATATTCACATTGATATTATGGATTACATTATTCCTTCTACATGCACCGATCAGGCAAATGTGGGCAGAGTTTGAATGGGAAAACAAAGTAAGAACTTAGCTATATTTATTTTGAACTAACATCTGAATGTTGCATTCGCTTTTTGGCAGAACAAATATTAATATGTTATTTATTTCCTAGGTGTCTGTCAATACTACATTGAATGATCTAAAATGCTATCTCATGCGCATTTGATTGGATTTACAAATATGAGGTGTCTAACACCAGAAAAGGTAAAGTTCATTGATGTTTTCCAATAGCTGTACTACATAAGCAGTATAAACTAAACTTTAACTTAAGAGTTTTATTTGTTCAGTTAAAATACAGACTTATTGAAATTCTAAAGCTACATCAGGTTTAAGGTGTCTGGCTTAACTTAAGAATTCAATTTGTTAAGATTAAATGCAGCCTTAATGAATCTCTAAAGTTACATCTGGTTTAAATAGTTTGGTTTTAACTTTAGAATTAAATTTGTTCAGCTTGAATACAGACTTAATAGCTGAAGCAGTATCAGGTTTAAGCTGTCTGGTTTAACTTAGGAATTTAATTTGCTCAGCTTATATACAGACTTAATGAATAGTTGAATTAAAACCGTCTGGTTCAAACCAGGTTTATATTGCTTTTATAACTGCAGTCAATGTTCATTTTTTTTCTTGATTGTTAATAAATTTTTTTGTTTATTCAAGAAACTGTTAAGTTGGGACTAAATTTTTAAGCTAAGGTTGCCCAACCAAAATTGCCAGTATGCATTAACAGATTTAATTTCCACTCATCAAAAATTTTTTCAGGAATGAAAATAATCCTTGCAAATTTTATTTTGTTAAAACTACTAGATTTTTTTTTCTGCCATTGAAAATAGAGAATCTTTTAAAAAATCACTAGATTCATCTTAAGTGCAGGAAAATAATAGTATATTTTATTGGTATATTTTTAGCATAAAATTGCAGTATTATAATAGAGATAAATGCTAAGAGCATGCCATGATTATTCTTTTAAGTATCCTAAATTCAGGAAAGTGATNTTGATGGGTTTCAGAGTATAAACTAAACTTTAACTTAAGAGTTTAATTTGTTCAGCTAAAATGCAGACTTATTGAAATTCTAAAGCTACATCAGATTTAAACTGCCTGGCTTAACTTAAGAATTCAATTTGTTCTGCTTAAATACAGACTTAATAGCTTAAGCAGTATCAGGTTTAAGGTGTCTGGCTTAACTTAATTCAATTTGTTAAGATTAAATGCAGCCTTAATGAATCTCTAAAGTTACATCAGGTTTAAATAGTTTGGTTTTAACTTTAGAATTAAATTTGTTCAGCTTGAATACAGACTTAATAGCTGAAGCAGTATCAGGTTTAAGCTGTCTGGTTTAACTTAAGAATTTAATTTGCTCAGCTTATATACAGACTTAATGAATAGTTGAAACAGCTTTGAATTAAAGCCGTCTGGTTCAAACCAGGTTTATATTGCTTTTGTAGCTGCAGTCAATGTTCATTTTTTTTCTTGTTTATTCAAAATACTGTTAAGTTGGGACTAAATTTTTAATGAGTCTCTGAAAATGTTATTTTTTATAACATTGTGCACAACTTACAACTAAATGTGCTAAAAGTAACCCATGAAGCATTTTTAATTGGCACCCGAATTGTCTTAAATATTAAGAAAAACATTATAGGGAAAAATGTATTAGAAAAAATAGCTTCATCATGGTTTCGGATAGTAACTATTTTAGTTTGCAATATTTGTTTATGACAATGGGTTCTATGTTTACAGTGAAATTTAATTCAGCACGATTTTGTATAGATTGAGCATCAGTCAGAAAGCAAAGCAGTAGCAATATACATCATAGTTAAAGAATTAACGTATATTTTTCTGTAATGGTAGATAATTAGCTTTCTAAGTAATTATTTTTATTAAATATTGAGCCGTTGCATCAATAATTATGTAATAAGATTGAAAGATAAATATGGCTTGGTTTCCATCTGTCTCCCTTTTCTATTCTTACCTTTTCTATTCTTACCTTTACTTTTCTATTCTTACTCTTATTCTTACCTTTTCTATTGATGGGTTTCAGTTACTGGCAGTTGTTACTAGATGAATTACTGAAAAATGAACCTTACTCTGTACAGCCAGTACGCCTTACTGTATTGGTTTTCCTGGTATGTGCTGTATTTGATGTGGATTTGAGGCAGTTAGTTTTTGTGAGATCTGGCTGGCAGCT